TTTTCTTGGAGCCCAGTGAGCTCCAGCCTGGATACTAACAGGTTCTTTGTTGTTGGACTGGGTTGGACCCTCCTGTTTGCCCAAAGGGGAGGGGCGGAGCCGTTGCTCCTTCTGCAGGGACTCCACGTGACTCCTGCCTCATTTCTCTGCCTCCAAGTACCAGATGGCTAGGCAAGGAGGCAGGTCTGAACCCTAAAGCCTGTGCTCCCAAGTGGTGTCCTAAAACCCACTTCCCATGACCCCCTTTGAAGGAGGGAATGTGGAGGGAGGCGGAGCTCAGGGTGGGCGTGTCCACGTTTGTGTGTGGCTTTTAGCCATGTCCTCACACAGTCTGGCCTGAACTTTTCATTTCTCAACATCTTCTCAGCACCCTATGGACATGGCCGAGGGAGTGCAGTGCCTCAGGGCGTTCAGCCAGCGGCAAGTGGAGAGGCTCTGCTATCCTGTCCCCACTGCCCGTGGTGCCCTTCTCCCACTTCCTCTTTGCCCCTAGAAACCTTCTGTAACCCAAAGGTCCACCTGCCCTCGCCCTGCTCCTCCCCCTGCCCAGGGTCTGCCTTGGGCATCCTCCTCCAACAGCAGTCCAGCAGTCTCTCCCGGGTCTTGCACTGCTCCCTGCGCCATCACTGGGGCTGGCCCTGGGCATGCCTGGTTTTCACGAGCCCTTCCCCTCACCCGTCCTTTCTCTCTTTTGATGGAAATGGATACGTTTGAGCCCTTGAGCATCTCCCTCGAAGGAGGCTCCTTGGGACACCCTGGGGTTGTTGTGTCCGGTTTCCCTCACTTTTGCCCACCCTGAGCGGTGAGCGGACGGTTGTCAGCGGTACTGTGGTGGTGGTGGTGGTAGTGTTGGGGGTGGGGGGCGGCATAGAGAGACTCCATCAGGCCGAGGCACTGCATCAGTCCTCAGTGCTGGTGACCCTTACAGAGCCTGGCTGGCACCCAGCGGACAAGTGGCTGGGTGATGCCTATCTGTTGGCTTTGGGTGGGCCATCTCTCTCGGTTTCAAACTCTCCTTGCTGGGCTTGTGATTGGTGTGGCACGGCTGGGCTCAGTTAGGACTCTGCGTGCTGTCCCCTCTCTGTGCCTCTGTCCTGTGTGGGACTGCTCTGTGACCAGGAGCCAGGGGTGGAGTCAGGGGGATGAGACTGTTGTCTTTGCACCTGAGAAGGCCCGAGGAAGGCCAGGTGGGGA